TGAAATAGAGACAAAATATAGCCGCAAAGAATCAGACGCTTTTATTTACCATTACAAGTTATATCTATATCTACAATGGCCGAATTGTAGGGGCCCGTCTGTGTCGGTCCCCAGGGGGTATCATGTGCACATAACCATCCAATTTCCCATCCATATCTGCAATCCCAAGATCGCCGCACTTGAACAAAACTTAAACTCCTCAGAAGAATCCCAACATAGCGAACAAGCATAAAGATGCTGCAGCGGCCACATTGATGTGAGTGATAGAGGCATATGATGCAGCCCCTGACTGGGCTGCGGGTGAGGTCTGCGCAGCGGCGCTCCCTGTGGCAGTCTCATGGCCTCCCAGACCAAGGGCGGGACCGCTCGTCGGAACAGCTGACACAACAGTCGTTTGGCCAGGGTTGTTAACCACTGCCGGTGTGGCCGAAGCAATTGCGGTGCTAGTTACTGGTGGAGGGTCGACTCTAGTCGCAAATCCTAAAGTGATAACGGTTAGTATCGAGGGTGATGAGATGACCATGATAGTGGCGACTTACCTATGCGTTTTTGGTCCTTGTCGAATACAGCATAGACATTTTTGAGGAAGACGTCTCCTAAAAGCCAGGCTCCCGCTACGACCTCATGGCCGTAAATGTTGCTGGTGCATGTACCGTCTGCTGCAGGGCTGGATCTCCAGTCCTTAGGGGAGATGACATAGCTAACACCCGAGAATGTGTATGTTACATCCTTGTTACTGTCGCACGGCACCTTGTACGTCGTGCCATCGTCCGAGGTAGATCCAGGAATGTTCTTATGGAAGGCAGCGACGTCGCTCTGAGGTCCAAAGACGTAAGAGGTACCGGTGTCAACATAGGCGAGCTTGCCAGCTGCGCCAGACTTGAGGCCGTCGTACTGAATGCCATCAAGAGGGATTGCCCAGTCTCCGTTGTCGTTTCCAACTCCGGTGTAAGTGATGTTGCCAGTGTACTTTTCGGTGTTACAGGTACCAAAGCTGATTTCGCTCGTGTTCGGTCCATCTGCCGCTCTGTTGAGATATACACAGAAAATGTTTGCAGGAAGTTGGCCGGAACTCTTGACAACTTGCATGAAGTTCTCGGTCTCGCCACCCGCCATGGAAAGTCCCAATATGCCGTCGAAAGGGAAGTGGTTGAAATCATCCGACGTCTCGTTGGCCACGCCGAATTGGAAGTCAAACTTCATGCCCGCGAAGGAAACAGTGTCGGTGATCTTGTCGCCTTTGACTGAACCCGACCCGTAGGCGACAGCAAAGGTCTCCCCCTTTGGTTTGTACGTGTCCGAGTCCGTAGGGCCGTATGAACCATGCTTCTCGCAAGCCGACGATGTGCAGGAGCTGCCCATAACCCAACTAGTTCCAGCTCCGGTGTCGATGAGCATCCATAGAGGCTTCTCCTTGGAGCCTAATTTGACCTGAGCAAAGTAGGAAAAGTCGGTACCATCCTGAGCGACGGCGGCTGCGGTCTTGAGAGTGGTGTCCGCCGCTGTGACAATGCGATACAGGCTCTGTCTCTTAGACTTGGATGCCCTTTCTCGGATAGCAGCGGACTGGAATCTCGCATACTTGCGGGAAAGACGTTGTACCTCACGGGCAACTCGTTCGGATTGGGACTCTTCAGTCTACAAGGCTTTACGTTAGCGACCCTGGGCTCAAAGTTTCATGTTGTTCTTTGGTGAGTGGTTTGACCAGGATCCCAAAGCCACTTCTGAGTATTCATCAGGATATTTCGACTTACCAAAGATTCCTTTGTAATTTGAGGGCCGACATGGAAGCCGGGAAAGTTGATGGCCTTGATGGCATCGACGACATCAGATCCAAGGGCATCTTGATCCTTCAAGTCCCTCTTGTGGGAACTGCATCCACCTTCGAATGGACAATGCTCAGATACGTCCCAGGGAAAGAAGGCGTGAACAGACGTCAAGAACAGGGACAGCTGGGCGAGGACCAAGGTAGAACGCATTATGCCTTGGCTGTGGCTGGCAAGTCGAAGTGACACTCGGTACGGATACGACGAATGGGCGATGCGAAACGTAAAGGTGTCGAGGAGTAAGGTAGGCGTTTTCAAGTCTAAGTCTGGCGGTGATTCAACAGTGCTTGACGTGGTGAATAAACTCAAGGCAGCTTATGACAGGTGATTGACAATCGAAAGACGCTGGACGCTAAGTGATTCGCTATACAGACGATTTCGGCAAATGTAAGCTCGAGCAAGCAAGCGGGTACCAGACTCCGCGATTTCGGACAGATTATGTTATTAGGGATTAAGTTGAGCGCATTGAAGGCTGGTAGAAGCTGGACGGAGAGCCGTCAGGAGTCGGGTCGTTTACGAGAGGAATGCGTAATCTTTTGATAGTAGGCTTGGCTAGTGGTTCTGAAATGATGTACGCGGGCCGGTTGAACCAAGGGTGAGACAATGGAATAGAGGGGCGGATGATCGAGGGCGGCGGCGGCGTGGAGCTGCAGAGACACGATGCAAGACAATGAGACAAGTGCAAGGGTGAAGAGCCGAGGACAAAGGACTAGCAGAGGCGATGAGAGGTTCTGCTGTCTGTCTATATCTGTGACCTAAGACAAAAACGAAAAGGCGAGCAAGGGGAAAGCAACTCTTGAAAAAGGATGAGATGCACCCCGGGGGAGGAGGAAGAGGAGGAGGGTGGAGGTCGGTGAGGTCACGTAAAGTGATGATGTGAGGTGAAGAGGAGAGAGAAGGAGGCGAGGAGGGGATCGTGGGGAGTAGATATGGAGATTTGCGAATCGGAGAGCGAGGAGCCCCGGCTGAGTTGCCAGGCCCAGGCGAGCTAAGGCTTATAGCGACGATGGGCTGGTCCAGGGTCGCAATTGGGAAGTGTGGAAGTGCAGGTGCAGGGTAAACCGCCATGGATGGTGATGGGCGAATAGGCGGGCTGGCAGGGGTACGGAGTACGGGTACCTCACAGCAACTGGAGTTCTGGAGGACGCTACAGAAGAAGGTCAGACATGGCTTGTCATTGAAAGGAGCTTCACGTTGTAGATAGCTACTCCGTAGGTAGTATTGATTATGAGGGTGCAGAGTACCTTGAGAGAGTAAAACGGCCGGGGGAATACTTTGGAGCTGGCGGACGACGGCTTCCTGTGCTGGACTGGTGGCTCAACCATCAATGACCCCAAGTGGATGGCTCTAGACTCGAGGTAGTTGGGATGGACAGCAGCTAGTCAGATCTGCACACATGCATGCAATTGCACAGGGGGGGGGGGAGGGGGACGGCGTTTCTGGCTTGATTGTGGACTGTGGTTGCCATCGGTTGGTTGTTCATTGCCTTTGGATTGCCATTGGGTCAAACTTGTCAGTTGTTTCTGGCATATGTTCTGGGCTGCGTCGTTTCTCGCGCACCTCCATCTTCCATTTTCGGGACTTGAATTCTTTCTGCCGCGTCGTTCCGTCTTTCCTGTCAGCCGCGGCCTGCCAATTTCTCTCTTGCTCCTTCCTCTTTCTTTCTTTCTATTCATGTCTTACCAAGGGAAGCCATGCCACGGTCGAGGCCACCCCTGACTTGCAAGTACCTGGGAACCTTACGCTTGTACCTATCCTTCCTCCGTACCTACCTTCCATTGGGCGATTGGGTCATGCTTTGTGTGGAGACCACATGGTCCGTGGCGTCATGCAGCTCGCTGTTTCCCAGAGAGAAAAGTGGCAGGAAATACGTAGCAAAACGAAAAGGAAAGAGCCGAGAAACGAGGGAAACACACCGCGACACCTTATTGCCTTTCTCTATTGAGTCTTAACATCAACCGAGAAACAAAGTCTCTTCCTTGTGCGCTCATGGGATGAACGATGGGCAATCCATTGGCCAATTCGACCGTCCATTCAGGTCAACATGCGACATTGATTGGCCCCCTGCTTCACGCGTCCTCGACCCCCAGCTGTCGATTCTTTTCTCTTTCGGGTCTGCGCTTCTCAGTCTCCAGTCTTCAGTCTCCAGTCTCAGGGGCGCTGCTGTCAATCAGAGCTTCTTTGCCAGGCTGCTTGTTGATTGTTGCTCCTAGGGACCGCCAGCCCATGTGCCCATGCCAAGTGCCTTGGCTTGGTCGGTCCCTTATCTTGCCGGAATCCCACCCACGTCCATGACTTCTCTGGCGTCTGCCGACGCATGCGGCTGTTGTTCTTGATTCTTCCAGTATTCGAGGCCTCGCGGCGTCATTGTCTTCTGTCTTAAATTCCTTCGCCTTATATCTCGACTCGCCGTCTGGATCGGTCTCAAGTCAACACCAGGCGGAACAACACTACCGCCAACTCAATCGCTTCGCCGTTTGCATTTGGCATCGCGTCCCATCTCCACCTCAGCAAGCCACTACCTCGTGGTAAAATGGCTTTCGCTCGTCACGGTGGCCTCGGCCGTCGACCGTTACCGTGTGTGGTGGGATACGAAAGTCCAACAGGCAATTGCTAGCCGCAGCCACCGAAGAAAAGACGCTTAACCTGCCTTAGCGGCATTGGCGCCTCGAAAACAAGGGGCACCTCAACCATCTCCACTTCCAATGTCGCCTCGCTGCTGCTTCGGGCCATCTTCTCCAGCTTCTCTCCAGGCTGTTCCCTTGCACCAAAGGTGGCTACCGGCCCTTTTGGGACCAATTCAATGAGTCCAAATGTGATGGACATTGGCCCGTCACCCATCCACCTGTCTACCAATCACCACCACCATCCGACACGGCATCTTTGCTTCTTGTCTCACTGTCGACGTTCTCCCGAATCTCGCCCGCTTCTCGCCCACTTCTTGTCCATGGACTTGGAAGTTGGTCAACCAACCAAGCCACAGCTCTCGTTTCTTTTGTCAAAAGCTCCATGACGACTGCATGCGACTACCAGCGCTGTGTCGAGACCATTTCTTCGGCCGGGAACGTGCGTCTGTCGCCGGACTCGAGCACGGTACTTGCTCGACCGCGCATCCACGTCAATCAAACCATCAAACGGACTGACGGGCGCTGGGGCTGGCTCATGCTCCTCATGTCATTTGGATATCCGATCTTCCATGCTCAGGACCGTGGACATGTTCCATAGTCCGTACTCGAACTGAGATGGGCCACGCTCGAAGCCCATGTTGGATGGAGCTCCCAAGTTGCAGTGCACCGCAATCTTACGTATCTCCAGTGCTGCTAGCTCGCTGCTCTGTGTTCGCCTCCTGTGTAGAATGGCACGACTGGCTACCTCGGTCATTCTACGGGCGTCTTCCAACACTCATTTTCAACCCGGAGCCTCTCTAGCCGTTTTGGCCCTTACCTCTAGGACCCCCAGCAGCTTTTGAGAGCTCCTAGAGTCTGGACCAACATCCAACCGTGGTCCAGTAAATGATCAACCAACTGGACCGGATGAGATCAAAGAAGAGATGCATGCGGCAAATGCTCAATTCACGGTGGAAATCATCGCCGTCAAGGACCCTGGGCTACTCCAGGGTCCAATTTGCCTCGAGCCACCTGAGCTTTACACTCAAACTAATTACCCGGCCCTGTCGTTGCTGGTCAGAGCTTCTACCCTTTAAGTCGACTGACAGTCCTCGGGAACAAAAGAAGACAATTACAGACTCTACCGCCTACAGCGCCTAGAGCCCCTTCCACAACAGCATGGAATTCAATCAACAGGCGCGTCAATACTCAGTCTTCTCCCGTAGTGAGGCCTTCGGCTGGCGGCTTCTTGACCCGACTGCAGCGCTGCACGAGCATCAGCACAGCCGGTTCGCAACAGGTAATAACAAGCCAACATGGTGCGCGGGCGCCAAATCGTACATACGTTTGCTAATACTGTTTGCAATTGATCTTTTAATCATTGTTTAAGACCATGTGCATCATCACGATCGATGGTGAAGTCCACGTTCTGTATCCGATGATGTTGCATATGTAAGAGGCGTCCCTGTCAATAATTCACAGCGAATTAGTCGTCGCCATCTCAGCCGTCGTCCTGATCTTCTTCAATGAGCTGCTAATGCGGATGTGGCAGGCGGACAGGGGCTTCCGAATGTGGATGTGATGGACAGGGGTCGCGGCCGCGAAGGGTTTCAGCCGCGAATCACCAAGTCTCGATCAGATCAGCGTGGCTTTCGGCTGTTGGACGATTCGTTGCTCCAAGAATGCTCCCAATTACAAGATGCATTGCACTAATATGATTCGTAACTTGGAAGGCCGGAGCTTTTTGATCTTGTTGATCCCTTGGAGGATTGCCAATTAAGGTAACGTTAATGAGTGCAATTATTTCCGAGTACGAAGAAACCAGGCATGATTCTTCTCAGTAGTTCATCTGCGGTGCTCTATGCTCTACGCTAAGCGCAATGCCGCCATTTTTTCTTACCCATAAAATAAAGCAACAAACGTCAAGAACCGTTATGAGAGAAATGTTCAAGGCTCACCCTGGAAGCTCATTGAATCCGAGAAATGAGCATGATGTATGCTTCTTCCGGAAGTCTAAAATTGTACTTGTGTAATCAGCACTGGTACCGGGGTTTCGTCGGTTCTCCTCCTCCTCTATTTCACCAACATCACTTTTACTTGTCTTCTATACAGACTGTCTAGCCATTTGACCGTACATATCCCACCATGTCCGTGCCATCCTCAGTACTGCGGCTTCGAGAGAGTCGTCGGTGCTGGTTGCTGCCAGCCGCTCTTGAACACTCACAAACCTATCTCTATCGATTTGTCCCAATATTGGCCGAGATGCTATGGTGCGTAGAAACCACCAGACTGACTCATTGCACCACCGGAGAGATTCCGCCAAACCCAAAGTCTCATTATAGACCAACGAAACTGTCCCTATGTCGTCCTTCCCTAGCCTATCAACCAAATGCGCGAGGAAGGACCAGCCAGAAATATCTGAATGGTGTCTGAAGGACCACTTCTTAACACTCTGAATCAGGGACACAAGCACGTCGAGCTCGGAAACGGCCAGAAACGTCTTTGTCAACCACCGGGCATGAGTCCATGCATAATAGTTACGAGGATGTCGTTCTCCAGCCATCATGACAACCGTCTCGACATCCTGTTGAACCACGACGGGAAGCCCGGCATCATGGTACCGCTCCGACAGCCAGCGTCGATGGTTCCACAACGTTGGTGACTTTGTGTGTCGATGCAGTCGGCTGGTGAGTAGACTATCCACGAACCACTTCTCCCGTGCTAGATTCACCTTCACGGTGTCACCCGCGGAAATCACATCGGAAAGAAGACGCTTTCTGGTGTTGGCGGCTGTGAGGTGCTCAGGGTCCATCAGAAGTAGGACGCTTGTTGCAGCTATCAGCTGCTCTCGTCCCACCGCAGAAGAATCATTGGCTTTGTGCTTCTGAAGGATTTGTCTGGCGAAGAGAAAGGCTTGGACCATGCGCAGCTTGGGAATCGCAACTGCGTTCTCGTCTCGTAGAAAGATCTCGTCTGGACCCATTGGATGGCCCTGGCCTAGAATCTCGATCTCGAGGAGATTATCATCTTGCGGCTGCGCAAAAAGCCCAGAGATGTCGTTAAAGATTTTCTCGTGGTCGCCTTGTTGTAGGGCAGCTATGATGTGCTTGTTCAGAGCTCTCGACATTGCTGTATTGAAGGGTTGTTGAACGGGACCGTCTTGGCCTTGAGCATGTCTGTGAGCCTCACTAAAGCACGCTCGACAAAAGTGATTTGGCGCTTTAACGGCAGCTCTTGAGTAGCAAGCCGAACCACAGGAATGGACCCAGAGCCACCTAGGTAGGTAGGTCAAGACGTTGAGGCCGTTCAAATCTTGCTCCGATGGAATGTAAACGCGGGAGTTGAAGGTGATTGGTTCTTGCTGTTGGACGAGGCGGCCAGTGGCTTACAGTGGCTAAGGTCCCCGCTAAAGATGCAATTCGCGGGGCAATGACATAGGACCACGTTTTCCCGCCCACCCAAGGGCACCCTCGAGCCCTGTCACACACCTACCTATCGACAACCGTTCAGCCTCGCACATCACAGACATGTGCCGATAGATACCGGAACCACCGCTTGCGAGTCTGTGATCTACCAAAGGGTGTCTACCATGCCCTCCCTACTCGTCATCATCCTCGTGCTGGAGGTGTTCTCCCACCTGGTCAACACCGTCGGAGCTGCAGCCATCAACAATCTGGTCAGTCTGCCTTTCACCTCCCTTTGACTTCGCGCCCTGCCGGTCACGGAAAGATCGCCGCGTTTGCTAACAGCCTAGCAGCTCTGGACAACTCTCAACTACCTCCCCATCTCGACCGCCAAGGCAGCCGCGCAGCATCGAAAGCTGCAAGCCGACTTTCTCAAGACGCGAAAGGAGCTGAATGCGACTAGCAGTCAGGATGAGTTCGCCAAGTGGGCCAAGCTCCGTCGGACGCACGACAAGCAGCTGGAGCAGCTAGAGAAGAGCAGTATGTTACACAAGGCTACGATGTGGCTTTCATGCCGGGCTATAGAGATCGTGATGGCTAACGTGTACACTTTGCCAACACGCAGAGCAAACCCAGGAAGCATCGAGATCAAAGTTCGATACCTACCTCACTGGCTTCAGATGGGCCCTCACCAAGGTCCCTCAATACGGCCTCCCCTTCTGGTTCTCCAAGGAGCCCATGTTCTGGCTGCCGTACGGCTGGTTCCCTTACTACGCCGAATGGATCCTCTCGTTCCCCAAGGCCCCGATTGGCAGCGTCAGCATCGCTTCGTGGCAGCTGGCGTGTTCGGGCATGGTCACGCTCCTCACCGAGCTCATTGTCTCGGTTGTGGGACTCGTGTTTGCGACGAAACAGAGCAAGGGACAGCCGGTTAAGGTTCCTGCGGCGTCAGGTAAGACGGCGGCGCCCAAGACCGCGGCTGGTTCGTCTGAGACGGAGAAGAAGGAGTTGTAATGCGGCTAGGCGACTGTGCCGCCGTGGCGAGGACCTTAGGCAAGCACATATCAAATAAAGTAAATGTCTCTGGCTCATAAGGAGTGGTTCCAACATTGTGACGCTGAAAGCCTTTGCTTTTGTCACAGGCATCATCTCGAAATTTAACAGGGGAACAAAAAGACTAGAGACGACGCAATCAAGCAGGCAGAGGAAAGTTGCGGCACTCTTAGCAAGCAATGCAGACGCTATAGCCAGTTCCAGGGTCATGGCCGCGTGCTTAGGCATATTGTAAAGGAAGGAAATTTTCATAGAATGTATCTCGTCTAAATTTGACGCAAAGTTCTTAATTGCAAGGCTAAGACTTTGTAACACGATCAAGAATAACCCTTGGCAGGGCATTTGGGGTTTGCTCTAGGCGTCATATTGACTTTGGTGACCATTTGAGTCCTTGCGGACGGCCAACAAAGCTTCGAAAGCGCCATCGTCACGTAGGATTGATCTCCTTGTCTTGCAAAAGACAGAGCTGTTGGTTAGTCTGGTAGTAGCTAATTGGAGCTCATGAAACAAAGCTACTGGCAATAGCAACTCTGAATCCCATAAGATGTTGCCATCTGCAGCATTCGAGTGGCAGAGCGAGTTCCCAAGGGGAAACAACCTGTAATTGCAGGTATCGCTTGCTGTATCTCGTACTTTGAGCTTGATGTGAATGAAGAGGAGGGAAAGTTGAAGCGTCTGTTGTGGATATTTCGCAAAAAAATATCTGCTGGGAAGGTGCACCGCCACAGCCCACTTTCAGGTCGCGCCACACTACGAGGTTGACAGACAGACCCATTTTCCGGATTAACCACCAGCCGAGGACCGTGCTCAGCCCCATCGTGCATTCGTCCGGGAGGCAACGACATCAACTTGGCAGCTCTGTGTTTAGTACCTGCATCGACAAGCTTGATCAACAACCCCCATCGAACGGTTCGGAGCTCCCGCCATACATCAAGATGGCGCCGGCACAGGATACCATGTTTCGCTCGGCGAACATGAGTATGGTGCAGCTGTACATTTCGAATGAAATCGGTCGCGAGGTTGTCACAGCCCTTGGAGAGCTTGGTCTTCTCCAGTTCCGTGATGTACGTCGCCAACCCCCCTTCCTGGAAACTATCGAGGTCGACATGAATATCGAAGCTAACCGACCGTAATCTATTTAGCTCAATGGCGATGTCAGTGCTTTCCAGCGCACCTTTACTCAGGAGATTCGAAGACTCGATAATGTCGAACGCCAGCTGCGTACGTCATCATCCCCCCAACCGCGCATCACGAACCCTCAGGTTGGGATAGACTAACATCGAGGCAGGCTACTTCTACGCCCAGATGGAGAAGGCAG